TTTAACTTTATATGAGAAACATCTGCTTTCACTCTTTCCAAGGACACTATGGATGGGGATTCAAGTCTGATAAAGCTCCTGATCTAATATTCAAGCTTTGAGCACAGCACATTACTACTGCCTCAGCCATTTTTACCCAGATGTCAGAATCAGCAGGGGTGGCCTGCTCTCAGCTTCTCTGAGATATTAATATGCCCACTCAAAAAGTAACTTGTCATTTTACATATAAACCTGATTATGAGGGTATTTATCACTGTCTACTCCTGCATTTTATTTTTATTTTCATAATGTACAGATTTTTTTCCTCCACAAAGTATTTAAAGAACAATAGTTAATAAGAGCCAATACTTACTAGTATACTATAGTAGAGCAACTTAGTTATATGCAATCAGTGAAATGTACATGATCTTCATGGTTATTCCAGCCCTTTTAATTTATGTAAATTTGGAATTTACCAACACAATATTCCCACTAGTTTGCTGAGATTTCTAAAAGAAAGCAAGCAATCTAGTAATTTTCAAATTCTATCAATTTTCAAATTCTATCAATGCCAAAAAAGTGTTCCCAAATATATCCTATTCATTCTAAAGAAGGAATTAGGACTGAGAACTTTTTATCTCTGTAGGTCTAACTCCTATATTAGCCTGTAAAAATCCAGTGGACATTGCTATATTCTTTGATGAGGTAGCTTACTCTGTTCCACTTACACTCTAGAGATTTGCTATTCATCCTGTCTCTACGTCTGTCTTGGCATTTCTGACCACTGCATCTTGCCTTAGATGCCTGTGCATTCCTGTTCATTCGTACTTTGTAGGACTCAGCCTTTGTAGGACAAGAATACTTACCTTCCTTATCAATAGGAACTTTGCATTATTCAGATTCTCAACATCAGATTGACTAATCTAACAGAATTATGGTCTTGGCATTTACTGGTTCCCCCTTTTCATTTTTCTCCCCTTTTCCCCAAACACACTCTAACTCTGATATTCAGTTGCTGAATTACATTGGCTTTTGAAACCCAATGAGATTTGCCATGGGCATACTTGCCTCCTCCTACCTCTATAGAGGGAAGTATTTTATCACTAACATTTTTTAAAGTTACATAAGGAAAGTGATAAAAAAAAAAAAGAACTTTTGTTTCATTATTTTGTGGAAAAGTTTTATAATGAAACATATTGGTTCAAATTATGATTTCTAACCTGTATGATCTGGGTTGTTTACCCTTTCTGAAACTCAGCTTCTTTATCTGGAAATATGATGGTATAACAAGTCCACATGTTAGTCATGATGATTAAATAAGATCCTATTTTATTCTTTGCTAGTAAGCACTGGGCACACTAAACTAATGCTCATGCATACCAAATAATCACATTATATACATGCCTCCATAGTCTTAGGTACACCTGGCTTACAAACAGCAATGGAGGGCCCTCTCTGGTGGTGCAATGGCTTAAACCTCAGCACCACTGCAAGCTAGCCATGGCCACTTCACTGCAAGTTCGATCCCCGGCCCCGGAGGTGACCTGCGTGGCACAGCAGACCTCTCCCCATCCGCCCGCTGCTCCCCTCACCAGTTTACTTCATCAATCTGCCTGTTCTGCTCCCCACTCTGTCCCTGATGAATCCTTTCACTACCCCTGCAGCTTTGGCCTGCAGCCCAGTTCTGTATGCATAAATAAATAAATCTTAAAAAAAAAAAAAGAAAGAACAATGGAAACCAATGTTTACATTTTATCATTTACTATTAGAGAGCAGGTGTTATCCAAAGCCCTTTACATATCAGCTCACTGAAATGCTTGTAATATCACTGTGAGAAAGGTATATTTAGTACTTTTTTTTTATAGGTAACAGAAATGGAGTAAAGGGATGTGAAAAAAAAATAGTTAAAGATGAGAAAATAAACTCTAAGGAATGCAGTTAAGGTAGCACTGACACTGCCTCAGCTGAAAGGCATGGGAGGAACATGGAGAAAGACCCCTTCTTTCCTTGCTTCCCCCTTATTTCCAAGGGGCTGCAGAGGCAAAAATGTAAAGTCAAGCCTTTATAAGCTTACCTTAATATCCAATGCCATCCTTACTGCTACCATCACCACCACTACTATTCTTATCATCTACACTCCACTGGTGTAGAGTCACTGATTATTTTGATCACACATGATACCCTATAAAACCTCAGAAGTAAAATATTATATAGAGCACATTATTTATGTTGACATTTTACTTATATTGGATACCTTATATGCCTAGTCCAAACACTGGCATCATATTACTTTGCTGGGAGCCGGGCACGTCGCCATTACAAGATGGCGCCCGCTTCCTGCCTGCTAAGAGGAAAACAACTCCATATAAGGCAGTGTTACGGTGGAGACAGGCCACAAGAAATGCGCATGCGCATTTCTCCAACTGTCCCTAGCCAATCCTGAGGCGTCTAGGGGTGGTGAGCTTGAGGCAACCAATCCACTGGCAACCCGTGTCCTTGTTCCCTATATAAGCAGTTGCTCTTTGCCGTTCGGTGCCCCTCGCTTCCTGCTCTCCCTTCAACCAAGAGGCTCTCCAATAAAGTGTGATCAAGAAGAATCCTCGTGAGTGGGGTCAGCGTGGTCGTTCTTCTGGCTGGTCGAGATGCTCGCCGCATTACTTTATAACTGTAACTTTGAAATCATTTTTACTTTATAAATATTGCTCAACTCTGTAAGCAAGTTTGGTTTAAGAATATTTGTGAGCCAGAGTTGTTTCATTTTTCAGTATTATATATACATACACACATGTGCATAAAAAATGGAAAGCATGGTTTTGAGTACTGGTGGAAGAAAAAGATCATTTTGGATAATAAAACTTATAATTGTAAAAAAAAAATCTACAGGTTTAATAACACACAGGAAAATGAAGACCATGCAAGATATTCCCATAGATTTCTTCTTTCTTACTTTGAGCTTATCTCAAGGGAAAGGATGTCTATGAAATATAATTAAAGTTTTAAACCTTGAAATTGTTTTCAGTGCCCTCAGAAGACATCAATTTTCTCTATTTTTTAAATCTAATCGATGCTTATATTCAACTCAGACAGTCCCATGACTTTCAGAAGAAGAATCTGCTTATCTATCTGTAATTCTCATTTAGTTATATGAACTCAGGGAAAACCTATTTGAGTCTACTTAAGCTGGAAGAGGTAGCAAAGCTGGTCAGAGGTGAGGGTGAGGAGAGGGTGGTCAGGAAGATTAGTGCAGCTATGCTGGAGCCTGAGGACTTGGGGTGCTCACAAATTCAAGCCAATCTGTTGCTTTTCTGGAAATAACTGGGTGTAACAGTGACAGACACACTGTAGTGTTCCTCTGGTTTAGGTAAGGGTTTATTTCTACCATAGCCTATAAAAGATAATTTAGGGCCCTCCCTGGTGGTGCAGCAGGTTAAAGCACAGCACTAATAAGCTAAAGCCACTTCTGCATGAGTTTGATCCCCGCCTGCTCTGGAGCTGACCCACATGGTGCAGCAGATTTCTCCTGACCCGCGTGCTGCTCCCCTCAGCAGTGTACTTCATCAATTGGCCTGTTCTGCTCCCCACTCTGTCTCTGATGAATCTTCTCACTGACCCTGTACCTCTGGTCTGTACCGCAGTTCTGTATGCATTAATAAATAAATCTTTTTTTAAAAATTAAAAAAAAAAGATGATTTATAAGAAAACCTATCTTGTATGTAATAAAGCATAGCACATATACTTCACAGTGGACATACACCCCTCAGAAGAAGCTCATTAGACTATTGAGCAATGGCCACCTAGTATATACAATAGTGTCCCCTCCACTAAAGGAGATGCACCTTAATGTAAACCTGTCTGGATGATAAGGTGAAACATCCAGGCTCCTGACCAACTGGTTTATGTATAGATCATACTACTAAAATGTAGTGGTCCAGATGGATTAATAAAGAAGAAAATTAAAAGCTACAGTTCTGTACTGCTTATACTAAAAGTACTTGATGCCCTTCATATCTAAAAGGACATTGAAATCATGTGAGAAAGTCTGTGGAAGGGTAGAGTTATTCATTCGGTAGAGATGTGATGAATCACTCAAAATATTGCTTACTTTAATAAGAAATAAATAAGTAGTTCACCAACAGTGACTGAACAATGGTGACTGTTATTCATTCTCAAAGATCTTCCCTTATGCAGTTTGAAAATAGTGTTTTCACTTAAAAAAATAGTTATTTGGCCAATAACTAGAACTTTCTTTGTTTTCAGAATTAAAGGGGCCTTATTTAGTTAACAATACAGTGCAAAAAACTGATTAAACATGATTTAACTATCCATTTTTAATATAACACTTTTTTTAACTGTCAACATAAATTCTTAGTTTACATTAGAAAGCTGATCTCTAAGAGAAAACTAAAGAAAGAACTCATTATGTGGCTAAAGTTTACCTAGATTTGAGCAAGTTTAGCTATGAATTCAGAGGACCAGTTGTACAGATTTTTTCTTAATGAAACAATGTCATGATTCAGTTACCTATGTCAGTATTATAAAATCACAATAAGTTTGCTCATACAGCAGAAATATCTGTATTCTACATATAAAATTTCTCAATTGAGAGCTATCTAACATTTACTATGAAATTTTAAAAAATTGTGTCCTTGTAATTTAATTAAGAGCAATATTTACTAATAAAAAATAATTTTTATAGAATTGGAAGAGGCCCCTGGTGTGCAAGAGGTTCAGTCTCTGCTCTATGAAGCTATCTGCAGCCACTACCACATGAGCTCAATTCCCGGCCAGGAAGCTGACCCATATCTGGGATAGCAGACCTCTTCTGTCTTGCTCGCTGCTCTCATCAGCAGTGTATTTCAGCAAGTCTACCTTTTCTGCTCCCCATTCTGTCTCTGATGAATCCTCTCATACACCACCCCTCTGGCCTACAACCCAACTCATATATATAGATAAATAAATCTTTTTTAAAAAATCAATAAAGAAGATTTACATAGAAATAACTATGTAAATAGCTCCTTTACCTTGTAAATATCCAAAAATCCACACTGATGATCAAATCTGGTGTACAGTTCATTCAGCATGCTGATCACTTGCATGGGGGTGCACTGAGCACATATGGCCGTGAAGCCCACGATGTCTGAGAAGAGCATGGTGACGTCGTCGAACTTTCTGGCCTGCACCTGCTGTCCCTGCCACAACTGCTGGGCTACATCACCAGGGAAAATGGAATATAGAAGATCAACGGTTTTCTTTTTCTCTTCTTCCAGGGCCTGGTGAGTTCTTTCTAACGTTGCCTTTAATTTATCCATCCTCTTCTTCAAACCATCTTGGGCCTTTGCCTGCTCACCAACCAAAATGACATCTCGGGTGGCATCATGGATTGGGATGTCAGAAAGATGCAGCCCTCGCCCCATAAGTTCATCCAACTTGTCTACGCATGGAGAGCCCAGGAATAAAACTGAGTTTGACTCTGGGACATGGATCATTTGTCCTTTGACTTCCATCACCTGTGAAATTAACAAGGAATGCTAATCAGTACATTTCACACAGCAGGCTTGCAAATACTCTTTCCTCATCTCTTTTCTCATTATGAGAAGAAAAAAGAAATATTTCACTTACTACACTGATATTCTGTATTTGTATAAGCAAGTTTAAATATGACCTACAGTCACTATAAATTAATGGTTCTAAACTGAAACATTGGCTAACCTCTCCCATTTGGCTACATTCTAGACAGCAATGAAATGGAAACTGAGATCAATGGGAAGTGAAACAGGAAGGCATTCTTAATTCAAAATGAAATTACACTCAGGTACATCATGAAACTGACGAATGAGCTAGTTCAAAGTTTTTGAACTGCATAATAATAACAGAATTTGGGATAAACTCATTTGTCGAAATAACATTTAACTGTCACTGAAAAGACAATCAGGCAATAAGTCCAGAAGATTAAAACAAATCAAAACAATTGGCCTTAGGTAAGTAATTTATCAACTTAGCCACAAGCTTTAAAAATGTAGTTATATAGATCAGAGACCTTCTGTAGGGGAGGAGGAGGGAGAAGGACCAGGACAGGGATGGGAAGAGCACAGGGACTATTGTGATGGTGCACAGGTGAATTAGTAGTGGGAATTTCATGGGAAATCATACATTGTACAAAAAATGAAGGCTGATATAATGAATATATTTTAAAAAATAAAAAAATAAAAATGTAGTTGTGTTTGCACTGACTAGTGGAAATGTAGTTGATGTTAAAGTCAAGCTAGGCAGTAACAAGTTATAGTACCAAAAAACAAAGCTTAACTACTATGCATAACATTAGTTAAAAATACACCTCCCCCCCACACACACACCCAGGTCAGGATAGCACTAAAGCAAGTCAGTAATAAAAACTGTGCTGATGTAGCAATTTAAACATATCTTTTCTTTTTTGTGCCCTTTGATGGAAATTTTCAGGACTTGAGGTCTGATGGAAAATATAGAGAACACAGTCTTATGCTTTCTTAATTTGATACCAGAAGAAATAGACAGGTGAATACCAGTAGGAAAGAAAGGTGGACTTAGGATACAGTGATCCAAATGTAATTATTTGAGTTAGAACAAGGCATATCAGCACACCTGGAGAAGGAGGTCCTCACAATATCTGGAAAGAACAAACTAACAGTTGACCAGCTGAGATTGTTCATAAGTCTCACCAGTGTCACTTTCCATCATCACATGGAATATGCTCAATAAATTTATTTCCTTGTTCTTCACAGCATGAAGTAGGCAGGCTAACTAATGAAACTAGAGGCATAGAACAAAGAGGAGGTGAAACTACAGGGATTTGAATTTGTATACCTGAAATTATGTTTTATTTTGAACCCCCTGCATCTACACCAAGATTTAGTCTTATTATAGAACAGAAATAAAACTAACAGTTGATTGACGATATCATTTTTTCTGAGAGGAGATGTCCACTTTATCATATGCAACACTTCTGCTAGTGTTGAGCACTTCATTCTTTTATACACAATGTCCTCATTTATTCATTGAAACATTTATTTTCTATTTACTAATACTGCTCTGGAAGGCAAGCATAAAAAGGATCAAATAAATTTCCCTCTTCAAAGATGTCAAAATATGTGAGGATCAAATCTATACAGAAAATAAAGAGAACCTTTGTAAGGTGGGTTCTCAAAAGACTGCAGGCAATGAAATATTGACTATAAAGGTTATTATTCTGAAAAATATTCATATGGTTTTTCATATGGTTTCTATGCTTGGAGGGGGATGTTGCTAATGACGCTTAATTTTTTGTTCAGAAATTAAACTTATAGTAATGAGCATCCACATAATGTAAAACCTTCATGTTAAAAAAAAAAGTTAAATTTTTCTTTTGCTTTAAAGAAAAAGCAACACTGATGCTAATAAACTTAAATGTCTCTCTGATATGCCCTTCCGCCTTCCTGCTAGGTATTTGCCTTTTCTCTCCAATTTGCTTGCTTCTCCCTTTTGTCCTGTGAACTTTTTCTTCATTCAATATTCTTTTCATCTGCTCCTTATTCATTTACTCCTAATTCCCCTGCGGCCTGTTTCTCTCATCCCTTGACTCCATTTTCTCTAATTTTCCTCACTGGTTCTTCCTTTCTCTTTCTTTGCTATGCATCAAATTCTACCTTTATCATTACATCTGGAACTTTTCTCCCCTTTGCTATTGTTTCTTATCTCTTTAGGTATATAGAATGGGGATACATATATGTACATGTGCATTGCACGTTATTTGCTATATTAATAAAAATTTTCTGTAGTTTACAAAAGTGGTGAACTAAGTATTTTGAGATACTCCTATCTCAAAAATATGAAGCAAAAACATGTTCATTATATGTGGCCATTAGTTGATTTCTTGAAGTCTCTGAATCAGCTGATCTCAAGAGAAAAAAAAATTATTGCTTATCTCCTACACTACAGAAAAATAGCACATGAAAGAGCTCCAATAAATAACTTCCTTTTTCACTAGCAATTTCTTTCCTTATTTAATGAATAGGTAAATTTAGTGGAGTATTTGTGTCATAAATGCATATCTAATTGCAAAATAACATAAATTATTCTTCTTGAATTGTCTTCGTGCCATTATAATTATAAATCAGAAATTCACCATGAGCTTCATTTATTAATTTAACAATGTACAAAACAATTATAGGAAGTACGCATTTTTATACAGAAGACACACAACTGCATAAAATGAAAATAAGATTTCATTGAATCCTACATTAAAGTTTTTGATCAAATGGCAAAAGGCTTAGAAAACTATAAATCTGTAAGATTATAAAAACTGGTAAGCACATTAAAGGGGGAAATTTGATTTGGACAAAAGAGCCAAAAAGCATCCTATCACAAAGTTTGGTTATTCTGTTACTAACACAGACTTGGTATTCTATTTTTATGAATAAACTTCTCTACAAAGCTATTTTCCATTATAACTAATAATTAAATATTAGTATATATAGGTCATATAACTATGTATACTACCTATTGTTATTTTCTGTATATCCTAAAAATGGACTAATCAAAGGTCTCCTGAAGACTGAAGTCTTACAAGATAATTGTTTGTAGCAGTATTATATAATGTCTAGGAAAAGAGGACTAGGTCAGACATGAAATTAAATTCTAGTTCTCCTGCCAATTAAGTAACAAACTGATGTAGGTTAACTTTCTTATCTTTTAAAAGTTTCAGTTTAGTTATATATAGATCGGAGATGATTAATGATGCTGAAATGACCAGTACTTAAACAGGGAACACTAATTCTGATGTCAGTTGATGTCTTATCTGAAACTATGGAGACCAAAAAGTAGCACATTTCTTATAAACTGTAAAAGATATGAGTCAATAGCAAAATCTAAACCCGGGGAACTATTCTCCTAGAATAAAGAGGCATCTAAGAAGTGATAACTTACTCTCCGAAGTCCTACAAAATGTTATAAACTGTTAACTCAATTAAAACAAAAAGTAGTACAGGAAAAAGAAATGAAGAGAAACCATTCAGATAAAGGAAAAGTGAAAACCTTTTCCTAGCAAATCAACCCTTAAGAATGATTGAAATAAAATCCTCAAACAGAAAACAGAATAAATCAGAACATCAGCAAGAAAAAAAGCACATGCAAAGTACAAGTCTGGAGAGTACAATAGAGTATGCATTCCATGAGTTGCCTAAAGCATAAGTGGTGAACATGATAACAGTGTCTGATACATATCCCACACACATATACACTAGGAAGATGATGTAAAGTTGGAAACAGACTAGAGTGATGGCAAGAAATACCAGGACAAACACCAGTAGCCAACAAGAGTTAGAAGAGCAAAAAGGAACTGACCCTCTGGATACACACATTCTGATTTTCAATTCTGATCCAGTCTTGGGATTGTGAAAAAAATAAGCTTCTCAAACTAAGTCAGAAGAAAAACGACAAAGTGAAAGCAGATGGCGTCACTTAAATGTGGAATACAGAAAAACAAAACAAAGGGTTAGTCAAACCCAAACCAATAACAAGCCCTAGAAATCTGACCATGAACTGAGACTACACCATGGGGTGGGGACACCGAGGCTGTGGTGGGAGCTGAGGGGGCCTGGGTGTGGTGAGGTGGCATGCATCTGAGGATGGAACCTTGGCCACTGAATCACACATTCTTGTAAGCCAGCTACCTCAAGAGGAAAAAAAAAGAAGAAGAAGAAGCGTTCTAACTTACTTCAAGAAGTTGATTCTTCCACAGACCTACTGGACAGAATGTCAAGTCAGAATGTGTGTGGAGGCCCTGCTCTGTCTAGAGATACCCATTTATTCACTCTTCTAGCTTCTGTGGTTTTATAGTACCAAGTTTGTGGTGATATGTGACAGTAGCCACAGGGAACTAATATAAATTAGAACAACAAAGAAAACAAATAAGAACTAATTGACAAATATAGGACCACCCATCCCCCCCCACAACATGAAAAAAGTAATCAAAGTTTTTAAGATTGCTATTATACAGAATATATTCTCTGAATACATGGAATAAAACTACAAATCAATAGCCATCAGACATACTCATAACTGTAAAATCTGGAAACAACCCATACCTAAGACCTGCCAGCATTTTTAACATGCAGCTTAGAAGAACATCTTTGCTTTTCTACTAAACAGCAAAGGCAATAGTAAACAGGTGTAACTGTGGGAGATTAATACATGAAGTTAATTATACTATTGTTTATTCTATAAATGGAAATGTTGTCCTTGTTGAGATAAAATCCATATAGTTCACACTTTATGGATAAAATCAGAATAAAGGAACTAAAACCTAACCCTTCTGATTTTTTATCTTTCTGTGCTCGCTTTATTTTTCCCAAGTTTGGATTCACTTCCATTGCTATTCTTTTTACCTCAGAAATTCATTCTCAAAATGGATGTAAATTTGGTTTTTATAGATAACCTAGTAAACCACATAACAAAGTTGTTTTAATGTTCCATGATTTGATGTCAGTTTTCTTTT